TGCTAGGAAGAGAAGTGCCCACACATTTAAAGCACTTCACCTTTCCCTCCCCGAGCGATGTGGGATTGCTCACCGTTCTTGTTTCCCCAAAACACGGGTCTTACAGTGTACACGAACATAGGAAGAAGTGAAAGACAATAGAGAAGTAGAATACCTAAATCAGCCAAGAAAATGTGAACAAAGAGGTCTCGGCCGTCAACATACTCTTCTTGAAGACTATCTAGATTCGGCGAGTCCCATATCCAACACATAGAAGTAGAAGCATCCCTTCCCCTTGTTTTACCAGCTTCAGCATATGAGTAAGCAATACACTGGCAATTCTCGAGGCAGCTGTTCTTGTATTCTGTTTCATTGCTAACATCAATTTGTATGTCTGGGTTTCCCACTTTCATCATCTTTAAAGTGAAGAATGTTTCGTTCTTGAGACATAATGGTAGCCCTCTTGTGCATCCATCAGAAAAGTCCCCAAACTTCCATTTATCTAGAGACTGGGGTTTGAAGCCTGGCAAGCATTTGCACACTGACTGCCAGTGGCGGTTCTAGCCTATGGCAGGCTGGGCTCATGCCCGACCGAAATTTGTGTTAAAAAATATTACCCACACTCTTTTCTCTCGTCTCTCCTCTTTTGCCCAGCCTAAATTTTTGTTAAAAAAAATATTACCTACACTCTCCTCTCTCCTCTCTCCTCTCTCCTCTTTATCTCTCTTTGTTCGTTCTTTTCCTTCTCTCTTCTCTTCCTCTTTTTTTTTCTTTCTTTTCCTTCTCTCATCTCTCATCTCTTTTATTTTTTCCCTTTTTTTTCTTCTATCTTCTCTCCTCTCTCTATTCTTCTTTCCCTTTCTTATTTCTTCCTTTTCCTTCTCTCTTTTTGTTAGAAAAATATTACCTACATTACTTATGATTATTAATTTTTTTTGTCTCGCACAAAGATAGCTATTTCAGAAATTACGAAACATGATTGATAGGGCTATGGAGCTTGAGATGGAAAGCCAAAAACGGATGTCATAATAAACGTTTATAAAAGGAAACTAGGGGCGAAATGAGGTCACAACTCGTTAAAAAAAAAACCTAGCTCTGCCAGTTTTCTTCCTTCCCATTTCTTGATATAAACTTGGCTTTTTTTAAAATTAATGTAGTCCCCTATTTTATCTTTCTTTTTAATGTGAAATAAAAAAAAATTCTATTTTTTTCTTTTAAGTTTTCTTTTGGTTTTTATTTTAGTTTTTGTACTCTCTATAAAATTTCAACTCCAACCATACTCCCTAGTTTAAAGAGTCACAAATGTTTTTAATGTTTTTTTAATTCAAATTTTGAATAAAGTGTAGACACAAAAGCAACAATAAAAAATAATTGGCTTTAAATAAATGCTTAAAATAATATTAAATAAAGAAGCATTTAATTATAGGGAGTCACTAGTAATCCTTTCTCTCTCCTCAGATTTATAAGCTCATAGAGGTCCCCCTATTTTAGGAGCTGAATAGGGAGCATGGTTGGAGGTGGGTTTTTTCAATTCCTCCCTAAATTTTAGTTAAGGAGGTGGTTTAGGGAGCCCATTGTGTATGCTCTCACAAGGAGTATATTTCTTTGTCCACAACACTTATCATGTGACCATGTTATGTGACAATTGCTTTAAACACAAAGCAATATATCCTAGATTGCAAGAAAGATTCTCTCATAGAATGATATATTATCGACACATTATAAATGATAATATCGACACATTATAAATGATATATTAGCAATTCATTTTTAGTAAAGAATGGATGTCTAAACTATAGCCAGACTACTCTAATGAATTCATAATTCCACACATGTCATGCCATATTACTGCCCATCGCACCTAAGTAAGCAGTAAAAATAAAGAATAAAAGAAGAGAACAAACAAGTTCCAAGTTGTAGTAGACTTATTTGGCAGTTGATTGCAACAGATGATTATCCCCCTGAATACTTTATCCACTATATTCACTCTCTGGTCTCAACTGCAAGTTGTAAAAACACTTAAAAATCAACTAATGGATTCCATGGAATCACACCGACCCTGCAGGTTATTACCATTACTGAGTCCTCCTCTTCCTCTCAAAATCGTTCTTCCTGGAGAGACAACTTTCCCGGAAAACGAAAGAAAAATCACTGCTTTCCCAGAAAATGGTCGAGTCAGAAGAGGAAAGCCAAACTCAAGCCATTCCGCCAAAGTCAAAGAACATATTGGACGACAGAGAAGCTGCGCTCATGGAGTTTGATGCTTTTTGGCCGTTGGATCCGATTCACTTTCCTTCTAACCCCAAGTCCCCTCCTTTATAGGGTGGTGATGCTGATAATGATGATAAGTTCGCTGGCCAAGTTGATCAAGCTCTTTCTGACCGTCCTCAATTCAGTTCCTGTGAGTTTTTCATATTGGGTTGTGTTCTTTTGTTTTTT